CGTTCACAGAAAAATTCCATTATCTTTTAATCACATCTCTAGATTAGTTTTTGAAGCCTGCATGTATATGTGTTTATATATAATACAATACAGATTTCTCATTATATGTAAATATTTTTAAAGCAGTACACTAAATTATGTAATGGTAACATTGAGGTTGAGGTATAAGAACAATCAGTGCTATCCACAGAGGACTAGAGTGGAGACCGAAGCAACCACAACTGATAAGAAGAGGGTGGACAAACGCAGGAACACCCCCACACCTGCAGATGATACCCACTTGCCATGGCTCCAATGATGGGACGAACAGAGCTCAACCCGAAGAAGAAAGAACAGGAAAAAAGCGTCATCTGATACAATTTGATCAACTGGACATCCACCTATAAATGCAGTAGCTTAAAAGAGGAAACAAACCCCTGCTCCAAGAATTATTCCCACCCCCTCCACACAAAGAGTAGATAGGGATGGGCATCTTGAACATTGACTAACCAAAAATGGGATACAAAGGTAAGAAGTGACTGGCTTACAAGCTTTCAAGAGGGAACCTAGATCCACAGGGTGGGGAGGATGGTAGTCTCCAGTGAGTAGTATCCAACCTGTCTAGGAAGGGCAGATGAAAAGAAATGCAGATGGGTCCCTTGGGAAGCAAGGGTGAATAATTGTTATCAGGACTGATTGTGAGGACTGGAAATGTAAAGGTGGACATTTTGTAGCAAGGAGGGGAGTGATTAACCTTTCAGTCTAGGAGTGGAGGGCCCTGGGACCATTAATGGGAAGAGCAGAGAGCGGGACCCCACCCAGAGAAGCAGTGAGGCCTGAGACTGACACAGAGAGGATGATGTGAAGAGATGGAGTGGCTGGGGACTAGGGATCCAGAGAGGGAGAAGGACTGTGTGCTGAGGACCGTGAGGGGAGGGCGGGCGGGATTTCAGGGTATACCCTTTGGTTGGGTGATGATTCATGGACGGGATGATAACTAAGGCAATGAGACGATGTATGATGGAATGAATGTAAAACTAATGTTCCCCCATGTAGACTATCACACAATACACAAAACATTTTTTTAAAAAAGAATAATCAGTGTTCCCCATAAAAAAAGTTAATTCTGAAAATAAATGAAAAGACTTTAAAAAGGTTATAAATAACTGAGACATAAAAATACTAACCAAATCAAAACCAGGTATTTTTATACTTTGTCTCAATCCTCCCAAACATCCTGTGATGTACACATTATTTTATCCCTCTTATTGTTAAGGAGCTCTGGTAGCGTAGTGGTTACAAATCGGGCTGCTAACCTCAAAGCCAGCAGTTTGAAACTACCAGCTGTTCCACAGGAGAAAGATGAGGTTTTCTGCTCCCGTAAAGATTTGCTGCCTCAAAAACCCTGCACAGGGTCACTATGAGTCGGAACCAACTCCACGGTACTTAACAACAACAACATTGTGAAAGTGCTGTCAAGCTGATTCTGACTCACAGAGACCCTGTATGATACAGGGCTTCCAAGGAGTGGCTGGTGAGTTTGAACCACTGACCATGTGGTTCAAACCAACCTTGAGATCAAGTGCTGTGGTGCCAAACCAGGACTCCATCTCTCTTATATAGATGATGAAATTGAAGCTTCAAAGTTTAAGTAAGATCATCTAGCAAACAAAAAGTTAGGACAGAGCTTTTAGTAAGCCTGCCTAAAACCACACCTTACTCACACAAAACAAGTGCTTCTCTCACAGTGCATTTTTCCAGGAATAAATTTATGGTCTAGAAAATAATGTAAGATACAATAGGAAAATGGCATGAAGACGAGTTTCTACAATCATTCGACTGAACATGCAACTGCCTTCCACCCAACACAGGAATAACTAGTTTCATAATTGGTTCAATGTGGGACTTACGATCTGTTCTATAAACCTTCACTCAATTCACAATAAAAAGTTAACAAAAAAAGAAGAATAACTAGTTTTGTAAGTGATAGGGAGGTTTTATTCCAAGAAATATATATCATGGATATGGGTAAAACTTTAGTTAAAAGGTAAAAATAAATATCCACAAATAGGTTACTTATATGTCAAAATATGTATTTTATATATTTAAAATATATTTTAAAAAATATTAGGCATTTTAAATGATGAAAAAATACGTAGCTATGTAGAAATATAACAATAAAACAGGTTACAAAAGTGTTTCATCTGTATCAGTAAATACAATAATCCTTCAGAAACCAAGTTTATTTGCATCTTACGAAAGGATAAGAAGAATTCAAAGAATGAGTTTAGATAAGGGATAATGTAAAATTATCGAACTCTAGGCTGCTAGATTGTAGACAGCAAAAAGTAAGCACTTAAAGAGTACAGAATTCATGTGAAAATGTCTCTAAATTGTTTTTTGAGTTTGGGCAGTGAGAGATCAGATAGTGATGGATAGCAACCACAACTTCCAACACACACAGATACACACACACAAAAAAAAAACATATATTCAGGGAGTTAAGTTTTAAAGTCAGTGCATGAAGTCAAAAATTGTCTGTAGTCAAAACGCTCTGTGAAAAAGCGTATCAGATCTCTTTCCTTAGGTGGTTTTGGTTGAGCTCCAGATGAAGTAGCAGGCTACTGTTGCAGATTGACAGTGCATTCCTGCACACACGCACATACACAATACATACTTTTAAACAATGGAAGGACACACATAGAAAAGTCTATAAGCAAGGAAGGGAGACAGAACACAATGGAAACACACTGAAAACCCATCTCCCAGCCCACACTCACTGTAGGGTGTGTGCTCTTTTAGTGATATTGGGATAAATTCCTATCTCTATTTCATTTTTTGTCTTTCTCCTTAAAATTTTTTCTGAGTACATACAGGTAAATTTCACTTTGTAAAAATATCAATTCTTGATTCTGACTTAACTTTAGTAAAATGATCAAACTCCTTTATAAGTATTCATATAGATACATTTCTACAAACATATGCTTTTTAAATTTACATGAAGAAAATCTGGAAGGTTATACACCCTGATATTAACAATGTTTACTTTCTGGTGGTAAGATCAGAGGAGACTTAAGTTTTCTGTATTATGCTTATCTATATTTTATATATATCAAATTAAATAGAAACTTTCAAAGGGCAGCTCAGAGAGACAAAATCTAATATTATAATGAAATGTGCAAAGACCTGGAGTTAGAAAACCAAAAGGGAAGAGCACATTCTACATTCTCAAGCTGAGGGAACTGAAGAAAAAATTCAACCCACAACTTGCAATAATGAAGGATTCTTTGAGCAAAATATTAAATGATGCAGAAAGCATCAAAAGAAGATGGAGAGAATACACAGTCACTGTACCATAAAGAGATGGTCCATGTTCAACCATTTCAAGAGGTAGCATATGATCAAGAGCCAATGATACTGAAAGAAGAAGTCCAAGGTGCACTGAAGGCATTGGCAAAAAAGAAGTCTCCAGGATATGAAATGAAATCTTTCAGCAAACAGATGTAGCGCTGGTGGCACTCACTCACCTATTTAAAGAAATTTGGAAAATAGCTACCTGGCCAACTGAATGGAAGAGATCCATATTTGTGCTCATTTCAAAGAGAGGAAATCATTGGGAAATATCATTAATATCATATACACATAAAATTTTGATAAAAGTAATTCAAAAATAGCTGCAATAGTATATGAACATGGAACTGCCAGAGGTTCAAGACAGATTCAGGCAAGGACATGGAAAGAGGGATATAATTGCTGGCATCAGATAGATCTTGGCTGAGAGCACAGAATACCAGAAAGATGTTTCCCTGTGCTTTACTGACTACACAAAAGCTTTTGATTGTGTGGATCACAGCACACTATGGACAACAATGTGGAGAATGAGTATTATGGACCACTTAATTATGCTAATGAGAAATTTGTACAAAGACCGATAGGCAGTTGTTGGAACAGAACAAGGTTTAAAATTAGGAAACACTTCACCATTTTTATTCAATCTGTATGGTGAGCAAATAATTCGAGAAGCTGGATTATATGAAGAAAAACATGGCATCAGGATTAGAGGAAGTTAGAGGAAGACTCAATAACAACCTGCCATTTGCAGATGATACAACCTTGCTTGCTGAAAGCAAAAAGGACTTAAGATATTTACTGATAAAGATCAGAGACCACACAGTCTTCGGTATGAGTTGCACTTCAATGTAAAGAAAACAGAAATCCTCACCACTGGGGCAATAAATAACATCCATATAAATGGAGAAACAACTGAAGTTGTCCAAAGACTTCATTTTGCTCACATCAACCATCAACACTCATGGAAGAAACCAGTAGAGTAATCAAAGGACGTATTGCATTAGGCAAATCTGCTGCACAAGACCTCTTTCAAGTGTTCAAGAGCAAAGATGTCAGTTTAAGGAGTAAAGTGCACCTGACCCAAACCATGGTATTTTCAATAACGTCATATGAATGTCAAAGTTGGACAATTAATAATGAAACTACATTAGAATTGATACATTTGAGTTTTGTGATGTAGAAGAATATTAAAAGTACCATGCACCACCAAAAGAACAAGCTTATCTGTGTTGGGAGAAGTACAGCCAGAATGTTCCTTTTAGAAGCCAAGACAGCTAGACTTCATCTCTCATACTTTGGACATATTATCGGGAAAGTCAGCAAAAGACAGTAAGATCCCCAACAAGATCAATTGGCACAGAGGCAGCAGCAATGGGCTCAAGCATAGTAACAATTGTGAGGTTGGCACAGGACTGGGTAATGTTTCATCTTGCTGTGCATAAGGTTGCTGAGTAATTACCTACTTGATGGCACCTAACAACAACAACAAATATTTTCCAAATAGTCTTAAAGTTAATATATGTTACTTTTATAATCCCAGTTATTTAAATTGGCATAATAAACTGATACAGCACATGCAAATAACATTGGAGAAACAATGTCAACGTTTTATTTCAAGAGCAGCTGTATTTGTGAGCTTCCAGATTAAATAAAAAGAAAAGTGGTTTTACCTCTAGAGCTTTCTGCTGCAGACGGTCACGCTCTTCCTTTTCTTTGCCAACAAACCACACTTCCCAAGGTGTCAAGCTGCTTTCTGGTGAGTACACCTGCTTTTGTTTTTCTTGGGTATCTTCTGATTCAACCTCACTAGTACAAAAAGAGCAGCGTGTAACACTGAACATAAAACTTTGACTTACTAGCTAAAATCACTTAGCTGTACAGTGAAAGCAGTAATTATGTTTTTACAACAGTGTGATTTAGAAGTAAGAATGTGATTTATATATGTTGCTGTTAACTGCCCTTGAGTCAGTTCCGAGTCAGTGATCCTGTATGGGGTTTCCAAGGAGCAGCTGGTGGGTTTGAACAGCTGACCTTATAGGATAAGCAGTCCAGTGCTTATCCTACAACAGCATA